TGCATATGGCCAAACATCTTCTGGCAAAACACACACCATTTTGGGCAATGAAACAGATCCTGGGCTTTTCCAATTAGTATCCAATCAGTTATTCCAGCATGTGGCAGACCAGGTTGATAAGAGGTACTTGATTAGATGCAGTTATATTGAAATCTACAATGAAAAGATCAATGACCTCCTGGATAAGAGCAATCAGGGTTTAACTATAAGAGAAGATATCAAAGGAAATGTGCTGCTTGATGCAAGAGAACCTGTCGTAGACAATGTTGATAAAGTTATGGAGAACATGATGCAGGGCAATAAGATCAGACGAGTTGCAGCTACTCGCATGAATGAGAGGTCATCTCGATCACACACGATTTTCCGGATTATTCTGGAGTCGAAAGATGCCAATCAGAAAGATGGACCTGTACATATAAGCTACCTTAACTTAATGGACTTAGCTGGTTCTGAGAGAGTTTCTCTGACGAAAGCTGCTGGTGAGCGTCTTAAAGAGGGGGCTAACATAAACAAATCTTTGTCAGTATTAGGAAATGTGATAAGGCAACTAAGCGAGGGGAAGGAGTTTATCAGTTATCGCGATTCGAAATTGACTAGACTGCTCTCACAGGCTCTTGGCGGTAATGCCAAATCATTGATTATCGGAAATGTTACTTTAGCTGCAGAGGAGACTAGATCTACACCAGAATTCGCCCAAAGCACTAAAACTGTCAAAAATAAACCGAAAGTAAACATCTTGTCAGCTACAGAAGAGGCACTTCAAGGATATCAGAACTTGACTCGCGATCTCGAAACTCGGCTCAAAAAGCAGGCAATTAAGCTAGAAGAGATGGAGAAAAGCAAACAAGAGTATCTGCTCGAGATAGAAAGACTAAAAACGGAAGTATCTATTGTCGGGCGCTTTCAAATGGGAGCCTCGTCATCAACACCGAAAAAAACATTAAGACGTCATACTTTTGGAGACTATGGCAACGTATCACCTAAAAAAGCATCCCTACGGTATATGCCATTGAAAAATTATCCACCCAAAGAAGAATCATCCGGACGTGAAATGAGGCCTATTCAAGAAGAGACATATGAGGAGGCACTAGCCGAAGCAGAATCTGTGATAGCTGAAGACGTGCCTGCAAGTGTACTTAAAAGACAACTCAAAGAACTGGAAGAATCTTTCAATGAGCTTAGAGAATTCACTAAACTAGATAATCAGCTGGAGATTTTGGACCTGAAGAAACAGCTCACAGAAGCCAATTCTAAAATCGATCGTTACAGTCAGGAACTCCGCCAAGTAACGGATGCGTACAACGAAGAAATAGAAAGGGTTCAAAAAAATTCTCAAAAAGCGCAAGAATTTCATCGACTTGCAATACAGACTCGATTTTCTGGAAAAACATTATAAAAAGACTAAAAACATACGAGTCAGAAATAGAGATGCTGCGTACTCAACTGAAGAACCTAGGAAGATCAGAGAGCCCTTAACTATCTCTTGAAGCTCAAAATATTGAGTCAAAAAAGAAGGTTGCAGGCTTAGAAGCTACGCTTGACGCTGAGTATGAAGATATGCAAGATTCTTTAAGTGCTGCTACACAAACTGATGTAACGATGTCACAGATTGCTGAACTGCAAGATGAAATTGGCTTCCTAAAAGAACTTGAATCTAAACTGAGAAATGACGTAAAGAGTCTGATGGACGAGAGTAATCAACGTGAGGTCAACCACTCATTTAAAATCTCAGATATACGATGCCATAATGATTCTACTATAAAAGAGCTTCAGGATCAAATGGCTGAACTGGAATGCCAAAACGAAATCTGGATTATGAAAAATGACGACGAAATCAGAAAATTGCAACAACTAATTACAAACCCGAAGCTGGCTGGCACTTAACCAGAACCACCTGTGCAGGAAGACGTTGCATTTTATAGGGAGCAAGTTGAGTTCTCCCAGAACATGTACAAAAATGAGATAATAGGTGGAGAGTTACGTATAAACCATAGAGAAAATCTTCAGGCAGTTAAACTAGAAATATGTCTACCCTTGTTTAGTGTTTACGATTATTGCAGGGTTTGGACAAAGTTTAGGGCTGATCCCACGGACCACGATAGCACCTAGGACTTAAGATTGTGAATCTAGTCTTGGTAACCGCTCACAGTGTACAATTTTCAGCTAATAAATCTTGAATTCTGAGGTAACAAAATCAACTAGAACTCTGTAAAAGTGATTTATCAGAAATCATGCCCTTACTTCCATGATAAGAGGAATTCGTAAAAATTATAAGCAGGTTGTGGCTTATTATCTAGTAAAAGATACAAGAATCCCAGATCTGAAAACGATTATTGTTCATGTGATCACAAACTTGCAGCGACTTGGTTTGTGCGTCGTTGGCACTATTTGTAATCAGGGCGCAACGATCAAAAACGCACTTGAGACGATTTGCTCGGAGAATACTCACGGATCAAGTCCATTCCATTTTATAGTCAATGCTCAGAGTATTTCTACAATTTTTGATGAACCACATTTATTCAAAAATGGATGAAATGCTCTTATTGACATTAATATGAAAGTGAAGAAGCTGCACAGCTTGAACATGTCTAGAAAGCAAATAATGTTGATCAGCAAACAAGACCATACAAAGAGCTATGTAAATTGAAACCCAGCCACTTTGATTTTATAGATTCGTTTAAGAATATAGAAATTAATCCTTTAATGGTATCGTCGGATGATTCGAGCTTTCTCAGTTATGTGGTGGGGGTCCCGTGACTTCTCATACGGTATAAGCACGTATACCTCAAACCACAGTTTAATTTAAACATCACAAGTGTTGGTTTGTTGACTTTGCGGTCAAATTTGATCCGAGGATGTCAGTTGCGTGTACGATTTGAACTTCCTTCACAATGGATTTTTTCGTTGTTGGCGGATGAACAATACACCACGCCGAGGACGACGCTGTTAGCGATCAACCTGAACAACTTCCTATGGGCGACCTCGCTATGCTTATAGAAAAAACATGTACAATTGGTCAAAACAAGCGCCTGCAACTGGTCGATCCAGACGACAATATTATTACGCATTTACCTGAACTAAAGTCCGTGGCAACCAATTTGGAAAATAATAACCCTGTGACTCGAGAAATGCAGATAAATTTCTCCAAATACGTGAAATTTTCGAGACACTCATAGAGAACTGTCGAAATTTTTATATTTCGGGTGAGTCCCCTACAAAATACGAGATGCTCGTGGGCCGATGTCCTTCCTGTGCCTACAAGAAAACTAAACCGAATAAGTATGGACTGATGATGCAAAGACTCACCACTACCTGCTCAATGCTTTCGTCTATACGAACAGAAATATCACACCAGTAGAATTACATGTAGAATTGCGCATCAACCAACTGACCAATGTCGGCAGGAAGCGTAAAAATAAGTAACAAGTACCCCAACATGTAGTTCCAAATAAGAAGGAAACACAGCCAGGTACTTCTAAGTTTATGTTCACTAGCACTACAGCCTTAGTGTAGTATCTTCCAAAACCAAATACACATGTTCTCGTATAGCAATCTATGCAGCATGATAACAAAATAGTAGAGGAATCAAAGAAACCTGATAAGATTCTATATTATTTTTATAACACTATGAAGGCGGGGGGTAATGCATTAGATCGGAAGTGTGTAAATTACAATACTGGTTAGAGAACGAGAAGATGGCCTTGTGCTATTTGGTATCCAACCAGCTTCTGTAAATTCCTTTTTTTTTCAGTCTGGGACTGAAAGTTCTATTAGGCGACGAAATTTTATTGTTCCCCTGAGCGTTTTATGCGTACAAACCTGTTGTACACATGGCTAAAAACAGTAATGGCATTTCAGAAGTTGATAGTAAGATCCGGTGGATAACCTGTTTTGCGAGATTAGACGTGGGATTTCCAACACGAACACCATCTGCTTATTTGCAGCATTAAAAACTGTAATAATCAACAATTTCAGTTTTCCATTGTCAATAATGAAGAATTATGAAGGCGATTCATGTAAGGCACTAGGTAACTTCGCGTTGCTTTTAGAAGAGTATTGTCTGAATAGACAACAGTTACCTTGTGATTCTTCACCGAGCTGCATTTTTCAAGTTGAAAAATCGGGTGCTGAAAGTGATGGATCTATAGATTTGTGAGAATTTGCTTCTGCTTCAACTTCTTTTTGTAATAACAATAACAGTCTATATGAAATTTAACAATTCTGTTTCTTCTTTGATTTTGAGTCACCCTGTAAATGTAGCTCTACTAAACTATCGGACCGCATTCATAGCCTACAAGAGAAAAAAATCTTCTATACTGGAAAGGAGGAAAAAAAGAATGTATCAACCTGATACATCTGCCCCTCTTTATAACCCGTGAAATAGCCCTAGTTCTAATTAAATTTCAGTTCAAGCTTCCAAAATGACTTCCGACAATATTAAAATAGCCATAAAGATCAGACCAATGATCCACCGCGAAGTAGCCGATGGTCTAGAGCGTCTTTGGAACGTAAGAGAAAACTGCATTTGGGAAGCCGATGAAAGTAGTCGCCATGGAGAGGTTTATATATTCGACCATGTATTTAACCAGGAATGTACAAATTCAGATGTATATGGATCTGTAGTAAAACCTTTAGTCGATTCCTTCATGGAAGGTTTCAATGCAACAATATTTGCATATGGCCAAACATCTTCTGGCAAAACACACACCATTTTGGGCAATAAAACAGATCCTGGGCTTTTCCAATTAGTATCCAATCAGTTATTCCAGCATGTGGCAGACCAGGTTGATAAGAGGTACTTGATTAGATTCAGTTATATTGAAATCTACAATGAAAAGATCAATGACCTCCTGGATAAGAGCAATCAGGGTTTAACTATAAGGGAAGATATCAAAGGAAATGTGCTGCTTGATGCAAGGGAAGCTGTCGTAGACAATGTTGATCAAGTTATGGAGAACATGATGTAGGGCAATAAGATCAGACGAGTTGCAGCTATTCGCATGAATGAGAGGTCATCTCGATCACACACGATTTTCCGGATTATTCTGGAGTCGAAAGATGCCAATCAGAAAGATGGACCTGTACATATAAGCTACCTTAACTCAATGGACTTAGCTGGTTCTGAGAGAGTTTCTCTGACGAAAGCTGCTGGTGAGCATCTTAAAGAGGGGGCTAACATAAACAAATCTTTGTCAGTATTAGGAAATGTGATAAGGCAACTAAGCGAGGGGAAGGAGTTTATCAGTTATCGCGATTCGAAATTGACTAGACTGCTCTCACAGGCTCTTGGCAGTAATGCCAAATCATTGATTATCGGGAATGTTACTTCAGCTGCAGAGGAGGAGACTAGATCTACACTAGAATTCGCCCAAAGCACTAACACTGTCAAAAATAAACCGAAAGCAAACATCTTGTCAGCTACAGAAGAGGCACTTCAAGGATATCAGAACTTGACTCGCGATCTCGAAACTCGGCTCAAAAAGCAGGCAATTAAGCTAGAAGAGATGGAGAAAAGCAAACAAGAGTATCTGCTCGAGATAGAAAGACTAAAAACGGAAGTATCTATTGTCGGGCGCTTCCAAATGGGAGCCTCGGCATCAACACCGAAAAAAACATTAAGACGTCATACTTTTGGAGACTATGGCAACGTATCACCTAAAAAAGCATCCCTACGGTATATGCCATTGAAAAATTATCCACCCGAAGAAGAATCATCCGGACGTGAAATGAGGCCTATTCAAGAAGAGACATATGAGGAGGCACTAGCCGAAGCAGAATCTGTGATAACTGAAGACGTGCCTGCAAGTGTACTTAAAAGACAACTCAAAGAACTGGAAGAATCTTTCAATGAGCTCAGAGAATTCACTAAACTAGATAATCAGCTGGAGATTTTGGACCTGAAGAAACAGCTCACAGAAGCCAATTCTAAAATCGATCGTTACAGTCAGGAACTCCGCCAAGTAACGGATGCGTACAATGAAGAAATAGAAAGGGTTCAAAAAAATTCTCAAAAAGCGCAAGAATTTCATCGACTTGCAATACAGACTCGATTTTCTGGAAAAACATTATAAAAAGACTAAAAACATACGAGTCAGAAATAGAGATGCTGCGTACTCAACTGAAGAACCTAGGAAGATCAGAGAGCCCTAAACTATCTCTTGAAGCTCAAAATATTGAGTCAAAAAAGAAGGTTGCAGACTTAGAAGCTATGCTTGACGCTGAGTACGAAGATATGCAAGTTTCTTTAAGTGCTGCTACACAAACTGATGTAACGATGTCACACATTGCTGAACTGCAAGATGAAATTGGCTTCCTAAAAGAACTTGAATCTAAACTGAGAAATGACGTAAAGAGTCTGATGGACGAGAGTAACCAACGTGAGGTCAACCACTCATTTAAAATCTCAGATATACGATGCCATAATGATTCTACTATAAAAGAGCTTCAGGATCAAATGGCTGAACTGGAATGCCAAAACGAAATCTGGATTATGAAAAATGACGACGAAATCGGTAAATTGCAACAACTAATTACAAACCCGAAGCAGGCTGGCACTTAACCAGAACCAGCTGTGCAGGAAGACGTTGCATTTTATAGGGAGCAAGTAGAGTTCTCCCAGAACATGTACAAAAATGAGATAATAGATGGAGGGTTACGTATAAACCATAGAGAAAATCTTCAGGCAGTTAAACTAGAAATATGTCTACCCTTGTTTAGTGTTTACGATTATTGCAGGGTTTGGACAAAGTTTAGGGCTGATCCCACGCACCACGATAGCACCTAGGACTTAAGATTGTGAATCTAGTCTTGGTAACCGCTCACAGGTGTACAATTTTCAGCTAATAAATCTTGAATTCTGAGGTAACAAAATCAACTAGAACTCTGTAAAAGTGATTTATCAGAAATCATGCCCTTACTTCCATGATAAGAGGGATTCGTAAAAATTATAAGCAGGTTGTGGCTTATTATCTAGTAAAAGATAAAAGAATCCCAGATCTGAAAACGATTATTGTTCATGTGATCACAAACTTGCAGCGACTTGGTTTGTGCGTCGTTGGCACTATTTGTAATCGGGGCGCAACGATCAAAAACGCACTTGAGACGATTTGCTCGGAGAATACTCACGGATCAAGTCCATTCCATTTTATAGTCAATGCTCAGAGTATTTCTACAATTTGTGATGAACCACATTTATTCAAAAATGGATGAAATGCTCTTATTGACATTAATATGAAAGTGAAGAAGCTGCACAGCTTGAACATGTCTAGAAAGCATATAATGTTGATCAACAAACAAGACCATACAAAGAGCTATGTAAATTGAAACCCAGCCACTTTGATTTTATAGATTCGTTTAAGAATATAGAAATTAATCCTTTAATGGTATCGTCGGATGATTCGAGCTTTCTCAGTTATGTGGTGGGGCTCCCGTGACTTCTCATACGGTATAAGCACGTATACCTCAAACCACAGTTTAATTTAAACATCACAAGTGTTGGTTTGTTGACTTTGCGGTCAAATTTGATCCGAGGATGTCAGCTGCGTGTACGATTTGAACTTCCTTCACAATGGATTTTTTCGTTGTTGACGGATGAACAATACACCATAGACTACGCCGAGGACGACGCTGTTAGCGATCAACCTGAACAACTTCCTATGGACGACCTCGCTATGCTTATGGAAAAAAACATGTACAATTGGTCAAAACGAGCGCCTGCAACTGGTCGATCCAGACGACAATATTATTACGCATTTACCTGAACTAAAGTCCGTGGCAACCAATTTGGAAAATAATAACCCTGTGACTCGAGAAATGCAGATAAATTTCTCCAAATACGTGAAATTTTCGAGACACTCATAGAGAACTGTCGAAATTTTTATTTTTCGGGTGAGTCCCCTACAAAATACGAGATGCTCGTGGGCCGATGTCCTTCCTGTGCCTACAAGAAAACTAAACCGAATAAGTATGGACTGATGATGCAAAGACTCACCACTACCTGCTCAATGCTTTCGTCTATACGAACAGAAATATCACACCAGTAGAATTACATGTAGAATTGCGCATCAACCAACTGACCAACGTCGGCAGGAAGCGTAAAAATAAGTAACAAGTACCCCAACATGTAGTTCCAAATAAGAAGGAAACACAGCCAGGTACTTCTAAGTTTACGTTCACTAGCACTACAGCCTTAGTGTAGTATCTTCCAAAACCAAATACACATGTTCTCGTATAGCAATCTATGCAGCATGATAACAAAATAGTAGAGGAATCAAAGAAACCTGATAAGATTCTATATTATTTTTATAACACTATGAAGGCGGGGGGTAATGCATTAGATCGGAAGTGTGTAAATTACAATACTGGTTAGAGAACGAGAAGATTGCCTTGTGCTATTTGGTATCCAACCAGCTTCTGTAAATTCCTTTTTTTTTCAGTCTGGGACTGAAAGTTCTATTAGGCGACGAAATTTTATTGTTCCCCTGAGGCAAACTCTAATTTAACTTCGTATGAGAGGACGTTTATCAGATCCAAGACTTCCTAGGGAGCTTCGTTCAGCCATGCAAAGAATCCAAAATTACCAACGACGAATAAAGTAAGCCGTCTACTTCTCAGCCCAGAGTTCTCGATCCTGATGCAGTTGATAAAGGGAAAAAACGACGTAGGTGTTACATGACAATACACAATGAAAAAAATGTTCTACAATCTGTAATAAGTATGCAAAGTCACAGAGCAGCTACATTGTTTCGTGAAAAGTGATAAATGTGAATTATTGTACGTTTCCTTATACGAGAAAGTATTTGTTTTTGTTGTAGAATATCAACACCAAATATGTTGTTAAATGGCCCATTTTGTTAGTTTTTTTATGTTCATATTACAGTTCAAGTTTCGTAAATTATATTTGTTGCATTACTCATCTTCAAATGGGGTATTTTCGTTTTTAGACAATAAACAGTTTTCATGTAAGAGTGTTTTATGCGTACAAACCTGTTGTACACATGGCTAAAAACAGTAATGGCATTTCAGAAGTTGATAGTAAGATCCGGTGGATAACCTGTTTTGCGAGATTAGACGTGGGATTTCCAACACGAACCCCATCTGCTTATTTGCAGCATTAAAAACTGTAATAATCAACAATTTCAGTTTTCCATTGACAATAATGAAGAATTATGAAGGCAATTCTTGTAAGGCACTAGGTAACTTCGCGTAGCTTTTAGAAGAGTATTGTCTGAATAGACAACAGTTACCTTGTGATTCTTCACCGAGCTGCATTTTTCAAGTTGAAAAATCAGGTGCTGAAAGTGATGGATCTATAGATTTGTGAGAATTTGCTGCTGCTTCAACTTCTTTTTGTAATAACAATAACAGTCTATATGAAATTTAACAATTCTTTTTCTTCTTCTTGAGTGCACTGTTGGTTGTTTGTTTGAGTATCCTTGAAGGAAAGAACTAATTCGTATTCTCCAACCTAACTAATAGATCATGACTTTTTTATAGGTTTTTTTACGGTTTGTTATTGGATCTCAATTGTGTAGATGTTTTACTTCGCACCTCATGACCAAACTGTTGTGATCCATAAGTACACATGCAACATTCTAGTCGAAGATTGCATAACAACTAACCAATGTGTTAGGACAACAGTTCTGGTTGGGTTTTTCATATTCCTGGCAATAATCACACCAAAAAAAGGCGAAAGAAAATATCCAAGCGTCTTTAGTTCTGACAGAAACTGGGGATTGAGAAGCGGAATCTGAAATGCCATAAACAAGTACTCTGTGACAAAAATAAGTCAAAGAAACTAAGTCTTTGATTCACACTCGTCACACTCGCCGTTTTTGGAGCAGCCGCACAAAAAGCGACAAATCTTACAAAAATTACATCATTTTCAAAGTACTTTGCCATATAAAAATACCTGAAAATTGTATGTCGCCGTAACGCGTTCCCGAAGGGACTCGAAGCAACATAGAAATGACTTGGTTAAAGCACTTTTGAAATTAGAAAAGAAAAAGATATCATTGCTAGAAAAATAGGATATCACTGATGGCGATAAGCATCTCAACTTTTTTAATTCTTTAATACTACATGTCAGGTAAAAATTCCTTCACACAACAAATTGTACTTCGGGAATCATGTAGTGCCTTAATGAATGGAAAAATAATTAATCAAGTAATCACGACAAGATTTATGGTTTTAAAGACTTGGGATATAGTGACAAGCTAATCATGCCGTTACTTTTATGTCAAGAGGAATTCGTAAAAGTTATAAGCAGATTTTGCCTTACTATCTCGTGAAAGATACAGTTACTTCAGATCTGACGAAGAAGATTTGTCTTTAAGACTAGCTTGTTCTGATTGGTTACGCAAGTGAAGTTCGATTTTCCCTCAGTTCAATTATTAACTTCCACAATAATCACATTTGGCCCGAAAACAAACGACGCGCCTTGATTAACATACTTTTCAGAAACAATTTTCTTTTTATATTTGGATTGGAATTGTCGGCGACCATCTCGTTGGGTCTCATTCATCATCAGAAGATTTTGCGAACCTATGTTTATATTTATGAACTTTTTGTTTTAGAATTACTCAAAGAATCGCCTGTTAAGTTTGTGGTACATATCTAACACCATGAATAGTGTATGGAGGCATGAATTACAGGTGAATTATGTATTCATTGCAATACTCCTATGCAGGCTGTGATGTCAGGACTTACATTAGGTCAATCCCATCAGGGAACAAAAATGTTTTCTGGATTGGACACTGTAAATGTGAAGGTGAACCATTTGATGATACATTCGGGTCTTGGACAGGAGTTATGACTCAAGGATGGGTTCCTTTGACGTTAAGTAGATTAGCAGCTACAGTATCAATAAGGCGGGCTATAGTGCATCTCCTGTGACATAATTTGCGTATACTCCAAAAGACATTGCAATGATTACGTTGGCGGAGATAATAATAATAATAATAATACCTCATAATACAAGTGTAGGTAATTGGTATAACGTATCGTATCAAGGAGTTGCAAACGTGACCAAAGGAACTATCTCTAGCTCAGATACTGCTAGAGCTAAATCACCTACTATAGTATGGTAATTGATGGTGATATTAGTTTTTCTCTTATGTTGAACGATATATATATTAGTGCAGTGAAGAAATATACAATTTAAAACTTGATGTCGCCATACAAAGAGGATTCACGATCACAATTTGCATACAGAAGAAATCCAGCTAAAAACCTAGATATTTTTACATTCATAAATTCCAAACTTGTTCTTGTGGAACGAGCAATTCGCAATAATATGAAACAAATGTAGAAGGATTTTATTGTGAGTGGTGAACTTGAAAGAAACTCATCAGAACTTCTATTCACCATAGCTTATATAAACCAGTCTTTATTTGCTTACATGTTATATGGATCCAATAAGACATCAGGCAATACGTATAGGAGACTTCATCTACCTAACGAAATATCATCCTGCAATTGCAGCACATCGAAGATTAGATAAGTGTTTTGATGAGTTGCCAGTACAGAATTATACTGTAATCATTTATCTGCACATATGTATAAAATTGAGACAGATCGGTATCGGGTTCAGCATGACTTAACAGAAATTAAAGCATCCACCTTATTCCCCACAGCAATGCAAATTTGAGTGGTGATTCCATCTTAGACAGACTTTAGGGAACCATAAGCGTATATGATTTCGGGTCTATAATTTATAATTCATTGATTTATATCTGCGCGTCCATTACAAGCGAAGTAGCAGTCAAGATGTATATAGCTTCCTGTTAATATGCGACATCTGAGTCAATAAAGCACGTATGCTTCTGACGCCTCTATATTCCATACATGTTAACATTAGTAAGAAATTATAATCGAGAAGCAGGCTTTCAAAGGGCGTCAAGTATAGTTTTTATGAAATTGGACAAAAGATGTCTCTGGAATGTATACGTTTATCTCCATGTATCAACGGGCGCTTGAACACTCAAGATGATCTTAAGTCATAAACATAATACCAATAAATACATTAAGACTTTCAAAGAGCAAATATTTATGCCGTATTGGACAAACAAATACGACTTTGTTACATTTGTTACCTCAGAAATCCTTTTTGTTTGTCCAATATCTTTTTTATAGGCGGTTAGTATAGCCTTTGGGCACGTGTCGTACTATTTTAATCGTGTCGTAACTTGCACAGTTGGCAAAGTGTTACTCATGGATGAAGACCATATAGTTGATTGAGTCAACGGAGGGCAACATCACGGCAGCGACAAAGAGAGATAAGGCTGGTGTATTAAATTATGTTATTTGAGGGAATCTTCTCACAGTTTGTGGTTTCGTTTTTGGATATAGCGATCCTGATCCGAACCTTGGCGGTTTTGAAGTTCACCGTATGCATGGCAAAAACAGAAAACTTGCATGTAAAAATATACCTATCGAAAGTCTTAGACGCTTCCGAGAAAAGTTTTACTCACAAAAAGACAAGGTTAAACAGGATACGACATTGTCTCATTTGATTGAAATTGGAACTCCTAAGCAAAACAAACGATGAGGCTAAGCATCTGCCAAGAACCGTAATATCACTGGAGCTCCATGGCCAAGAAAACAATTTGCCAGACAATGTTTTTAAGAGTTTTTGATATTGGTCAGAAGCACATACAAACCATTTCTGGGCAAATGAAAGCTGCATCTGGTATTGCTTAACATTTGTTAAAGCGCACAAAAGTAAAAGCATACATTGCTAACTTAAAGGAGCCAAGAGATTAACTACAAAAAGGCGAAAGCTAAAAGAACGTATTTATTCTCAGAGTGCATCATAACCATATTGCACAGAATATTCAATTAAAGCATCGAATAAAGATATAAAGTATTTTAGCGGTTTTTTTTTTTCGAATGACTTTAACATAGGATTCGGTAACCCTGTCATCGACGTTCGCGGATTCTGTAGGCAGCAGCTAGGCCTGCTATCTTTGGTGAAAGTCCAATGTGAAGAGCAGACCGTGATTACAAATTTAAGAGTACATAAATTGAGTGCTAATCATTTTTTTCATGGTGCAGGAAAAACGGTATGGCATTCTGCTTCGATTTTTAGCAGGTACAATCTCTCCCTAAAGTCCCGATTTCAGAGATCTTTATGTTTTTCTTATCACATACCATGCAAACAATCAATTTTTTATTCATGGCTAGAACACCAAGCTAGAAGGCGCGCCACAGAAGTTGGCTCTGCCATTTACGACTTCCAGAATATGTGTTGTTTTCCGATGACTGTGGAGGCCAACACAAGAACACCCACATAGTTCACATAAAAGGAAGATCCATAAACAAATGATGTGCTTGTATAAAGAGGCTTCAAAGAAGCTACAATTTATTAGATTGATTTTCCCAATAAGATATCATTCATACTGCCAACGGACCGCACTTTTGGACGATGTGAGAAGCTTATTAGATCCCAAAGCACACAAAACTTGCCAGAAAAATACTGGTAGTTGTATCTTCAATTTAGTTAGTTCGAAAACTTGGGATTGACTGAGAAATATAAGGCTTGAAATCCGCTATGTCAAAACAAAATGTAGCTGAAATAACAGAAATCTTTTAGAGAAATGATGTTGCCAATGCCAAATATCTTGTTACGCCTTTTTTTTGTTAATTAATAAAACACAATAATAAATACTATCTAACGGTTGGTCCAAGCAAAACAGTTGTCTGGTGGCGTGCAAATTTATACTCTAGCTCAACAAATCGGAGAGTGGGGCCAGTGACTTAGGATGGATTAAGCCACAACTCACCGAGATGTTAGTCGGAACTTGTTTTGCTTGACCAGCACACAAAAGGAGAATGTAACAGAGATCACGAAATTTAAGTAACAGTACACACAGAGAGAGACAAATAAAAAAAGATATTAAATGAATCACAATATATTGATTAATAAAAAAACGCACATGTGCTCCACTACTGGAGTGCGAGTAATAAAAAAAAGAAAGGATGTTATAAATCTTAAATACAACCTAACAAAATTATTTTTCGAGATAACCCCGCGAGACGTCTACCATGGTATACGCCCGAAGTACTTACAGATATTTTGCGCCTAAATATTAAACTTATCTATAGGTCTTCTTCGTTAGCCGCGGCCGAGATGTCCTCAACTCTGGTCAAAAAGTGGCCCGTAGTGGGCATGTCACTGGGCTGCTTGACTCGTTGCCAAAAATTATGGTAGTAAAAAAACCCTAGAGAGAGAGAGAGAGAGAAAGAGTGTTTAAAAATCTACTCTACTCTCTGTCTGAGATAAAACTACTCGTTGAAAACAATCGCACTTCAAGCAAAACCGTGTACATGTTTTTGTACAAGAAAAGTAAAGCAAAGGCAAAAAAGATAAAAATGTACTAACTAATACATTATTATTCTAAAAATTCAATCAATGTAATAGAAGGTGCCATGTAGGCACTGCCCTCATATTTGAATACGTAGAATGTCCAATAAAATCAAGAAGTCTCTAAGAATTTCAGTAAGTAATAATAAATGTATAAAGATCTTTGAAATTGTTAATTAGAATGATATTTTTCCTGTTCACATCAGGTTTTTTTTTTCAAGGAGATGGCTTCCACCAATTTGCAAAACTGCAACAAGAATCAACCAACCGGAGGAGAAAGGACGATAATTCTCTTCTGTTCCTATTGGCTAAAAGGCAGCAGCTATTGAACGAACGTCATCAGGACACGCATTAAGGCACGTGGTCCGAAGGTATATAAAAAAGAACTTACACAAGTTACACAAAAAAGTGTGCTAGTCCATGAATTGGCGCTTGGGACCTAATATGCCAGAGTCCGGAAAATGACGAAACGACCCCTGCACCACGACCTCAACGGAAACAGAAAAACGAATCACGCAGAACACGTAACGTTCTAGAAGAAGGTATCTTGAGTGGCCTTGAAGAAGATATGTTTTATAGGAAACCAACTAATGGAGAAAAACTACAGAGTTTTTTGCTGATCGTCAACACCATACTGAATCGCTGATAAAGAAAGATATCGTACGAGTGAAATTATACAATGAATAAACTATTAAATTTGCCAATAGAAAATCATTGAAAAGGGTTTGTCCTAGGAATGGGCACTCTATTATTAATGAAGAGAAATTCAAATTACGGATAAGTGATAAATAGTAATAAAAAGGTTACGTGTTTTTGGCACGTGACTACTCCCCCTCTCCTTGGAGTAGAAGGGTATCTACAGTGTAGATAATAATAATAATAATAATAATAATAATATTTATTTACTCTAAAATACAGGGAACATGAAACGAGTAAATAAATATAATATATCCATAGGAGGACAATGCCTGTGCATGGATCATATGTATGTTGAATTGCAAAATATAATAAAATAGAGAGAACAAAGAAATTATTGGTAAGAATGGTAGAGCATTTATTGTGTAATACTTGAGATTATTTTATTAATTTGATTTCTCCCAATCGTGTTAATAAATTTTTTTAATTTTTTTTTGAAGCCTAATGTATTGCGTAATTGTTTTAAATTATTTGGTAAATGTTCGTACAATTTTGGAGCTATATACAGGTGACATCGTTTCATTAGGGATTTGTTTGGTTTAGGAACATTTTTTGCGCGTAATTTATATCTGGTTTTATGATTATGTTTAATTATGTCGTGTTCACTAATAGTTTTGTGATAATGAGTGATGGTATGTAAGAAGTAAAGTTGTTTAGTATCATATACTTGTGCATCATTATATAAGTCATTAGTTGGGTATAATTTTGATTTGCCTAACATTGATTTTAAAATTCTTCTTTGAAGTACATCTAAATCGTTTAAAGTATGTCGTGCATGCAGCACCCCACACTACTATACCATATTTTATGTGTGGCTCGATTAAAGCTTGATATATTATTCGTAGATAATATTCAGTTAATATACCGGTTAGAAATTTTATTTTATATGCTATGAATCTAATTTTCTTTAGTATGTGAGAAATATGTACCATCCCATCTCAAGTGGGGATCTAGATAAATTCCTAAATATTTTTGTATCATTAACTCTATTGATTTTTATATTTTTATCATTACCTTAAACCGAAGGTG